GGAGCGTACTATATTTGGGACTTGAAAAGAGACCCTTTTTGGACAACTACGCATTCGTCGGCTTAGGCCTAAGTCCCTAAACCCTAGACCCTAAACCCTAAACCCTAAACCCCTAACCCTGAACCCCTAAACCCCTAAACCCCTAAACCCCCTAACGCCCTACAGCCCTTTGAAGCTCCAACCCCAGAGCCCCCAAGCCCGAGAGTCCCTAAACCCTTCTGTAAACCTCTCACCGCCGAACCCAAAACCGTATGGGTTTAGGGTTTAGGGTTTAGGGTTTAGGGTTTAGGGTTTAGGGTTTAGGGGTTTATCAATTCGGCAAATGCTCGGTTTAGGGTTTAGGGTTTCGGGTTTAGGGCTTTAGGGTTTAGGTTTAGGGTAAAAGTCATCCGGAGCACTGCGATCGAGAGCCACTTATGGCTGTCGTTCGGTATACAGGCCTTGTAATTTTTTTAGCTGGCTTTCTAAGGATTTGATATGTTTTTATACCGTTGTCTGTGTACCCGGACGCCTGAGCCTCTCACCAGGCCCCCTAAGATGTTTTACAGCTTTTGGGACCAGAGATGATATTCTTTCAGGAGTTTGGCCACTTTCAGCCTAACAGACAGCCCTTCAGCTGCATGACGGCTGTGCCTGCGCTTGAAATCGGAAGATATCCCTGACTCTACTCGCCGTGTGCCTTGCCCATCCATCCGGGAGTATCTTTTTGGTTCTTTACACACTAATTAGGTAGGCGAAAGGGGCAGTGCGGCTTCATGTCATATCAAACATAGGGAGGGGGAACTGGCAAACAGAAGCTCGGGACCGGATTTTCAAACGGTCACCCAGTTTCAAGCGGGGTACGGCATGCAATGTTTTTAGCACAAATTGCGCAAGGGTGTAAAGACATCGAAGAATAAGGAAGGGTTTTGGTAAACATCTCTGATGAGGAATAGGGGCCCGCTGAAGGGAAAGGGATGCGAATGGAACAGCGGCACAAGTCTTCAAATAGTTTTGCCAAGGGCGGCAGTCGCAGCTTTACTTGCACTTTGGCTTTTCAACAGCCTTCTCTCCACTTGGGGCCTGGCTAGACCCTAAACCGTAAACCGGAGTAATATAGATCCCTGGCTAGGGACTACCCACCCAATCTGAAAACACCAGGATATCTACGAACAGGTTCATCAATGTCTACACTACACCAAAGGTCATGGCGAAGTCATAAACAAGACCTTAAGCCCTGATCCCCAAACTAGGCCCTAAACCCGAAAAGCCCTGAAACTCATCAGCGGTCTATAGTAGGACCCGGGGACACATCCAGATGTATTCGTCAAGATTGAAATCTAAAAAAGAAGTTGTAGTAGCATTCATCCCTTTTGGCCTCATATAGTAGAAGCCGGAAAGTTGGAACATGATGATCCCCATGCCCTTCATCTGAAGTAGAGGGGATCCCAGCGCTGATCATCCCAACTCCAGGTTCCAACTTTCCGGGACTCGCGATCGAACTATACTAGACTATACTATATGAACAAGTATGAACTATACTACACGGCACAAAGGGCTCAAAACACACACCAACTGAGCGTTCTAGTGGCTCGCGGTTTAAGGGAACCCCAAACCATCTATGAATAAGTAATTGCGCCACAGCAAAAGACCACAACCAAAGACCGGTGATCACAAGTCTGCCTTAGAGTAACTTTGTAGGGTAACTAGGGTTTACACTCTCAGGGTTTAGGGTGCCGTAGATGGTACAAGCTTCCTTTCGAAGGTTTTCGGATGCTTCTCGACCGAAGCCTTTACCCTCATGTAAACAACATTGCTCAACGATACGTCAAAGAAGTCGAGGGGCCCATCGAGCTTTTGCAGGTCTCAAGTGACAAGGTAAGGAAACTTAATAGTCCCGCGGTGCTATACGCTAAACCCTCAACCGGAAACCCTAAACCCTATTTGTACATATATATATATATATACATACAGATATGTACACATGTATATATATATATATATATGGAGGACTTTGGCTACTTTCGGATTCAGTTTCGACGATTGCAGCAGCACCCGTTACTATAATCGTATGTCGGAGCCTATACTGTAGTAACCCTGGACTACAAATTCTACAAGCTACAGACTCTAAACGCGAAACCCTATGAACCCTAAACTATAAACTCAAGCCGGGAATCTCTGCCCCAAGCGTTCTTTCTGCAAGGTACCCAAACGCTCACAGTCACAGAGAAAGCCCAGCACTCTAAACCCTAAACCCTAAGCCCAGCAGAGCTCATAAGACGAAGGCGAGGCCGAGCCTGCTCCAGCTTGTGAGCTTCCGCAGCAATTGAAAGTTTGGGGGTTTAGGGTTTTGGGGTTTAAGGGTTCAGGGTTTATGGCTTTAGGGTTTAGGNNTTTAGGGCCGTTTAGGGGTTTAGGGGGGATGGGTTTAGAGTTGTAAGTCAATTTTAGACATGTTGCCTTGGTCTCCGAGGGCCTGCAGTAGAATTAAGCATGCATCCTACACCCGGAACTCACTCTCTCCCCGTGTTGGAGCCAATTGGGCTGTAAAGCCTCCCTCCCTCCCTCCCTCCCTGAGCTTCTCTGCTCACGAATTCTGGCTACGATTTACATCAGTTGCTGCAGCCCTGCCCTTGCAAACCGACTCCTTGAACCTTCTCTGCCTCTCTTTCCAGCCTACTGAGACATGCGCGGTTTAGAGGGTTTAGGGTTTAGGGTTTAGCGTTTAGGGTTTAGGGTTTAGGGGTTTAGGGTCTAGGGTTTAGCGTTTAGGGTTTAGGGCTTGAAACAGCCAGGAGATCGTGAAAGCCTATGGGCGCTACACCCAAACCCTTGAAGTTGAAACCAAGTTCTCTATGAACCGGGCTCGCACCTAGCAACAAACAGGGAAGCATCAATCCGCAAAAGCCAGATCAGCATCCTTGATGCAGAGAGAGAGGCCGTACGCCGAAATGGCATTCAAACGCACAAATTCCGCCGAACCCGTGCAGCTGACACCAGAACCCTCAACACCCTCAGCCCTACAAAGTAGAAGCCAGACAATCTTGACCCAG